ATGTGCACTTCTACACAAGGAAATTATATTCTTCTTATGAACACCATCCCTACATTATTAAAATGACATAGGTATAAGCTGCTATCATAAAGAAGGAAAAAACCAGCACAAAAACAAGATAGAGAAAGGACTATAAATGACTGTAAGGCATAAAAGGTATAATCTGCAAAGAGAAAGAAAGTAAATCATAAATGAAGAGATGTTCTACAAAAGCAATGATCCCCTATTTCTAATTCCCTACAGATTTCCTATACTTAATACATGAAATAAAAACTGGATATAAAATGCCTAAATTGTGTTACAATTGCTTCCTACTCTGAAACCTAAGAATAAATGATTGGAGAAGGTAAAAAATCCAATGGGAAGAAAAAGGAAGTTCAGCGTCCTTACACAAGTAAGAGCTGTCAAGTCTTTAAACACTCCTACTCCATCTTAACATGCTGTGGATATAACATGGCAGACACAAATGCAATCTATTTCTGCTGTAGCAGGAAACTGTATTGTTGATTGGCACATTTTACCTAAAGTCGTAAGAGCACAGCAGGACCTTCACAATGGGGGTAGGGGGCATTATCTCTGGTGGGGAATTCCTAAAAGAGACAGATCTACATGTGCCTAGAAAAAGTCCACACACCTTTAATGCATTGAATAATTTAATGCCTCTAAGGATTGACTGATTTCAGGTATCAAATCAATTTTATGCAGTACTTTTTTTGTACTTACAGAAGAAGAGACTGTTTTCTCAGATTCTACTAGGTTCAGTAAGTACAATATTAGTCACTGGGTTCTAATATATCAAACGTGCTTGGCTTTCCCTGGAGCACGATCTTTGGCTCAAAACTGTTTCACAACTACTTCATTTTCAGAACTTAATTAGAACTTCACCTATACACTGCTTTGTTTCCTACAGTAGCCTACGATTCACAGAATATTAGTCTTATTGAAAATTACAGTATGTGTCAATTAATATTATAATAGTCTGTTTCAAATCTAAGAAAAGGTTAACACACTATTCATCAGGACCTGAAAATCTGTGATACCTTGCTGCTGAATTAACTTTTCCACTTTCCTAAGCCTGCTTAGCTACCATCTTCCATGGCCCTAATGAGCTCCTACATGTTGTGGTGTCAGCACATATCCCTTCTTTCCTTGCTCAAAAGGAAAGAACTCAACAAGAGTTCTCAACATGTACTTCTCAATAAGAAGTACATGAAGATTAAAGGATTTATCTTTACCACCTGTTGCTCAGCATATACAAAAAGTAGACAATTTCTCTTAGTATCATGAATATTCTGCCTGTGACCATAACATTCACATCAACATATCCCAGTATTAGTTTTCCAATATTCTACAAGTTGTATCAGTATTTGAATGAGGTATACTCCAAAGCATTTCACTGTTTCATGTACAGAGTCTTTACAGGTTTTTTCCCCCCCTAAAGCCTATCACTTAACCAATAAACTGGAAAGTACAAAGGTATAGAAGAACACCATTTAGCCAAAGGAAAAGTTGATGACAAACTCCCAAATTTAAAAGAAGCAAAGAAAAATTCTATTTTACACCATAGTTTGAATTACCTGTTTATGATACAGTCTAGTGCAGGCAGCTACTCCTTTCCCACAGCAATCCACATGGAAGTACTTGGATAAATAACATCTATATATACATCCTGCATGTTTTCCCCTCCTCAAGTACATCCTCTTTCTTTCATAGGATGAAAGAAGAGTGCTAAGAGGGTAGCACACAGAACACAGTTTTCACCACAGTTAGAGCCAGCAGAGATGCTATCTGCTACCAACAAAAATCTTCCGCCTTTAAGCATGCCCCCCATAATTTCTAAAGCTCTGGTACTCCAAACTACTCTCATGACCAATGATCTACAACACTTATTTCACCTTTTTGTCAAATACTATTCAGTCTTTCCAGGACAGTACATAAAGGAAACTCTTGTCTGGGAATGCTATGGCACTGCAGAATTGTGCTAGAAGAGAACTTGCCATCTTGGCAGTCTACCAGAAAAGGAAATGAGCCTTGAGATTAAACTGAGGGAAGACCATGATCTCAGCTGTCATGGAAACTGAGGAAACAGCAAAACCATAGGCTTGTCTGCCACATAACTCCATGAAAAGGGCAGTGATATGTAGTAGCCAGTTTTGAAACCATTCAAAGGCAAGCACACTGCAGCAAGATCACAGTGCTGAGATCCTCAAGCTAATAAAAAGGTTAATAGTTCTGAAAACACAAGTAGAATCATCAATAAAGTGTGCTGTTCACATTAATTAATCCTACGGGGACCTTGTCATATCATGTCACTAACAGCCTTGCAGATGGCTGGGACATCCACCCATGCTTCACTATGTGGTACTGCCCTCAGCAATCCATATAGGGCTACAATAGTTTGGAGATTGTACTGCACAGATAAGAACACCTGGGAGCATGGACTGAACAACAATGTCTACGCCTACCTGTTTTCTTCTGCAAGTCGATTTCTTACAAGCAACAAATTACTAAATCGATTTCTCCACTTGATACAGTTATCAGAGTTCACTCGTTAGTAACCTCTGTATTTATGCAATTACCTAAAAAAGGTAACAGAATTTATATACAGAAGTTTATGAACCAGGTAACAGGACTGCTTGGGAATGCTGCTACTAATAATAGATAATTTTACTATAAATCTCAGCATTTCAACTTGATGACAGCCCAGAAAAATCTATTCAGTTGTAACTGTACTTCATGCTTCTTTCTCCAGAGTAGTTCAAAGGTGCCCATAAACTTTTTATTTATCTTGGAGGTATGCAAAGTCTACTCTTCCCTGTCTGCCTCTTGAGGATTGTCTTTGACACTGTATCAATTCACAGGCTTAAAAATACTTTTTCTGCACAAGAGTCTTGGGAATAATCTCTGGAACATCTATGGATCTATACAGCAAATATGTCCAAACTGAAATCTACGGGCAAGTTCTTTTCTATGAAGAGTTCCCAGTAATCCATCAAAAAGGTCTCAACTGTTTTTCCAGAAAACACCTCCAGCTGTCTTTTCTTACTTATTTACATTATCCAATCTTTGAAGAACACCACGTGTGCACACACACTAACTAAGCAAAAAGGAAAAATTACTGGGATTATATTTTGCAAATATTTATTCCCAACAGATTGTGCACAACTGATATGTTAGAAATGGATACAGGTAGATAATATAACTGGACAGTTGATAATATAACCATTCTTATCAAATTTTTATCAAGACTTATAAAGAGTGGAGTAGTCCTTTGGGAACTCTGAAAAACAGATGGCTCTGTTGAAAATCAATATACAAACTCTAGATACCAGCAAAGGAATAGCATGTTGGGCTAAAGAAATTAATAGCAGTAAACAGATCCAGCAGACATGACTGCTTGTGTATATGCTATTCATACTCTTATCCCACCATATACAGTAAGGTCAGAGACTGCATGAAGAAAACCTTTTTAGAAAGAAAGAACAAAGCAAATTATTTCTCCTTGTATGTGATAATCTAGGGGAACAGGAAGATCTAAGCTTGGGAAATCCCTGTCTTGGCTTCATCTAGCTTACAAGACTAGACTTACAGTGTTTTTTACAATCACCAAGTTGGTGCCATTCCAAAGTTTCACATTATCTACTGTATTATATTCAGACAAGTTTTACCTCTTAAAATACTACCTTTCTAAAAGAGTACCAAGAACTGTGGGAGGAATAATACAGGGATGAAGACTGATGTCAAAAAGTTTCTTAATGCAACCACAGTACATACCTTCATCTAAGCTAAAAAAGTTTTCAGTCCTCATCTATTGCATGTATACTTAACTTGGAGATGTCATTTTTTCCACTGTTTTCAATGACTCTTAGAAATTTCAAATTATTGTGTTTTCTTGGACAGTTAACACTGACATATTCCTGACACTTCACGTGCAGTTGAAATTAGACTACCTAGTTTTGTCCGATAGTTCTTGCAACTTATATAGTATTTTATCAAACTAAAATGCCTAGTTCTACACTGAGATTGTTTAATATAAACAGTGTAACTCTGCAAATACTGTCAAGTTTTTTGTTATTAACTTCAGCTGCAGATTAAGAACAGTTTAAACCTTTCCTTTGATTAGGTACTATCTTGCTTGTTTGAAAAGCTCCAGATGGATGTATTTAACATAACTAGACACTCAGAACAACATTTCTTACATCATTGATGAAACTGTACTTGAAATAATCCTCTTCCAACAGACAAGGAAGTCTTTTATTTCCCTTACATCTTTTCAGCCCCTACTGAGCACTGTAGCAGACAGTTAAACCAAGTTATCGAAATTTAGCCATTCTACTATGGCTCATTTGGCACAAGGAAGTGCAAAAAAACCCAATAATCTCAAGCCAAAGTGCAACTTGACTCCATCTTCTCAGCACACAAAAATCATGACACAACTAAATGTACAGTTCAGGACCTACATATTCATATTTCTGCCCCAGATAAAGCTACAAAAGTATATTATCATGTATTTTCTCCTTATATTTAACCAGGTCAGTATGCAAATAAAATTGGAATGTACAGCAGAAGAGAAAAAAGGGGGGAAAAACCCCAGCCTCAAACAACTTGCACTGTATGAGGCTGCTACCTACACTTTAAGAGGCAGTTTCAAGTTCTCTAGCTTTGTATAAGAAGTGATGATGTCAAAGTAATGTACAGCAGCAGGACATTATCATAATCACTTTATTTTGCTACTGGCACAGTGGGTATTTCCGTAAATGTATTTGTACCAGAAGTTTGCAATATTTAAATATGTACCCCTTCTAGTTTACCAGCCTATTGAAAAAATCAAATATTAAACATTATAATCAAACTATGCATAGATAATTACTCCTAAAATCCACCTCTACTCTTCTTATATGTGTTTAAGTAACTAAACTAATTATAATGGATTTATGGTTTAAAAGTCAGTCATGAACACTATAAAAAATGTCTACAGGATTAACTTTTGAAGTATTTACCTGTGCGTAAGCCTTCGGTGACTAATGCAAACAGCAGTTTGTTGATCCTGTGCAACACAGACTTTATGGCGACTACATTTCATCTTCAAACATGGATCTTTAGCCGGATCTAAAGCTAAAAATAGTTTTAGAAATTTGTTAACAATTATCTAGAAACATGCAATTAAAACAAGAAACACCACACAAAAAACCTACCAAGGTTGTGGAGGGGGTTGGCCTGCTGCTTGTACAGCATGCTGCACTGCAAGCAGCTGACTGTCACCAGGAAAAAAATGCAGCTGTTGTATTGGTAAGAAACTACTCACTGCTATATTCTTTTAACAATTGCCACTCTCTGACTGTAATCCCCAAACACTGGTATTTCCAACTTGAAAGCATTTTCCCTTAACTGTTTACTAAGATACAACTGGGTTCTTCCTACTCAGCATTAAGTGGTGAACAGTGGCACTGAATTTACTGAGAAATTATTACTCAGATGAGATTTTAGTAAAAGTAAAATATGCAGGCAAGTGATTGGTATGACTGTCTTTATATATAAATTGTACTTGCTTCTAGGCCTCTATTTCTGCTTTGTGAGTTTTAGAGGGGTTCTTTTTGTAGTGGTCCTTTAGGAATCCTCCATACTCATTTTTCAAGGACAATTTCAGCTAAAAATAGTGATTTCTGGCTGTACTAAAAGAATGTAATAATTTTGTTTGTTGCTTATTACTAAATTTGCATTCTTCTTGAGTAGCCATGCCTACATGACTGTAATATAGAAAAACATCTGCCAATTTAAGTTCTCACTAGAAATGATCAACTTCTGCCTTCTCCCATCTCCACAGTGTCTTTCAGGTAGATCTAAATATTCCAACACTAATTTTTTTTATCCCTATCAGAATCCTTTTTTTATCAAGGAAGAAAGTTATAAACAATTAGAATTCTGTTTCCCTGTGTTCTTCACTTTAGCATGTTACTGCCCAGTATTCAGTTATATTTCAGAAATTTCTCATTTTTTACATCTGCTTATAAAATATCACAGAATCACAGAACATTCTGAGTTGGAAGGGACCCACAAGGATCATTGACTCTTATCCCTGCACCCTAAGAATCACACCATGTGCCTGAGAGCATTTATTTGCATATACATTTTCTGAACAAAAATGTTGTTTCTTCTATTCTTCATTATCAAAAGTAAGCTTCTAATCACATCTTTATTTGACCTGCCAGAGGATACTAACATAAGACCGCTAACTGGGCAAGTACCCAGAAAACAAGAACCAAGCTGATCATTAGCTGCAGTTTTGATGCATGAGGTTGCAGTGCTGAGTATGATTAAATATAGTCTGAGCAGTGACATCTTCAGTTTTATTTCCCTCTTAATAACATATTCAGCTGAGCAAAACAAATACACAAGATTATCAACAGAGTAGAAAAGTGATGGAATAATTAATACGGTAATAATTCAATGCAGACAGAAAAGTAGCATTTTGTTAATTACAGCATAAGACATATGAAAAGATGTATTCTTCTTTTTACTTTACAGCAAGTCAGCCATAAAAACACAACAAGTAATCCAGAATAAATCCAATTACAACAACTCTATACAAATAGGAAGCAAGCACAGCAAAAAAAAAATACTGAACTAGGATAACAGAGTTGGAGTCAAAATTAATGAGAGCATATTCAGTATCCTCCTTCAATTTACTTTAGATTCCACGTCAAATACTTCCCCTGCTTAAAGTCAGGCAGAACGTAATGCCAGCCCTTAGTAAAACTAAAGAGATAATAACTTAAGGTACTTGTCCAAGTACCTCTCCCCCAAATGTTCCCTGGTTGGAGACACTAGGGTAGCAATACTGGAATATGGCCTATCTTCAGGTAACTGCTTTGCAAAAGCGAATAGGTCAATGAAACATAAGCAAGAGAAATCTGGAATATAAGGATGCTGAGTTCAATATCAAGCAGAAAACAGGTTTCAGGAAAAAGGGTGAATGGGGAAGATCATGAAACCATTCCCACTGAAAAGGTTATTTCTTTTCCCAAGACTGAAGGTGTGTTTTGACAATTACATCAAAATTTAGCGAGCCATACAACATGGTTTTGGTAATATGTTACATTTTGGCAAAATGTTACAGGCAGAACCCAACTTTGCAAGCAAGCGATGGTACTTTCATACTTTGCCTTTAGGACAATATGAAGGTCAAATGGAAACCAGGACACACAATCAGTTCTTACAGAACCAATGTAATCTTTTAGTATTTGCTGACTCAATGGTTATCATGTCCTGCATGTAACTCTTGATCACCTCAGGTGAGGTATATAATCATTATATAGCAAGAATGGCTATGGGACTGTGTCTAGGGCTACTATCTAAGAAGGGTGAGTAAGCCACCAGAGCCACAGGTGCCCAAATCACAAGACCATCTTTATATTCAAAGGCATGTTCAACACTCATGGTCTTACCATTGACACTAACTCACATTATCACTCTCTGACCTGATGGACTTGCTCTCTCTCAGCCACAAACTCCCTAGAGAAGCCCTTTTCCTCATCTTATCTGTGTCATGTGACCTCCCTTTTTCCAATATTTTTGTTGTGAAACCATCTTATAACAGCAAGGGCGAGACCAAATAAACCACTGATACAAAAATGCAGATTTTTGGAAGGCAAAAAAGTTAATTAACTGAAGGGTCAATGGCTTCCTGGACTAACACTTAGCAACACAGAGGATAAAAACACAGAAAGAAATGCTGATAGAAGATGTAAAAAGCACTTCTTTCTTTTTTTTTTTTTCTTTGAGTATCACATGCTGTAGTCAACCCCATGCTATAAAGTACATAGGATGTACATTTCACTAATCTACTTTGCATGATCTTCTGTTTTTATTTTTAACCTGTTTTTTAAAAATGGCAAACTTATGGATCGCATTAGCTATTTTCCCAGTTTTGAAAGGACTACAATAATTAGATATTTACAAAAGCAGGGAAATTACTTGCCCTTTTTTTAAAGCCAGTTTTACTTGATTCTTGGAACTGACCAATGGACAATTTTCATGGGAAATAAAGATTAAACCACAAGAAAGACATTTTTCAAAACCATAGTCTGAAGTTCTTCATGCTGGGGAAGAACTGGATTCCCCTTACAATGCAGGGACATAGCTGACTATATGTCTGATCTTAAACTATGATGAAAATGAATAAATTTATTCCAGAAAAAGTACCATTGATTTCCTCTAAGCATGTAACTCAGTTATATCAGGAAATACATGGCATTAATTCTTTACTTCTTTACTACATCTCCTAGCTATCCTTGACAAGATGTGGCTGCTTTATGTCAGCTCACTTACAGTACGCAGACTTGCACTGACGACACCACATATTTCTTTCCATTTCTGCTAAAATAAGCATCTTTGAAACAGTACAATGTTCACACCAAAAACATAACAAGTGACAAATCCCACTGTGGGATTGATGTATTTCCAGAGCTATTGTCTTTAGCACAAAATAGGCATCAATCCAATTTTTTATCGAATTCACATTTACTAAAATATTGTCATAATTATGAAAGTTAGGGCCTTTTTTTCCCCATAATTGAAGTGAAAACATTGACTGTACAGCTCAATTACACTGCTATTGAAAATTGGTGAAGGTTTCTACTATGGTGAGGAGACTCCAGACATGAGCAATACAGTTATGTAAGGCTTGTCAGAAATCATGTCTTTATTAAGGTTTGCCAGAAATCATCTCTTTATTACTGTATCAGCTGAATTCCTAGAATGTCATACAAACAGCTTCTTAAGATGTAGGTCTGATCTTAGCTTTAACAACTTGATAATGTTCAGCTTTACATAGCTTTTAATATTCAGGACACTAAGCTTGCAATAGGTTATTTGCCTTTATGCCATGTGTCCATATATCTGGCAACAATAATAAGAAATATCATGTTAATTAAATTCCAACAAATAGAAAAATACCACTGTTACAAAATGCACTTCCAAAGTATAAAATGCTTTTAAACATCTATTATTTCTCTAAGAACTTATATTGCAAATGCCAAATAAGATGCTCTGCTGAAAAATTATAGAACGTAATTAGGGACTTTTATAGATGAATATGGATTTGTTCTTCTCACATGCTAAGGAAGCAATTAATATTCAAAAAATTGATTCAATTATTACTAATAGATTTATTCATTTATAATTCAAATTTGGAAAAGCAATTAAGAAAAGCTTCTCATCATCTCTTCTGTAAGTTAATTTACAGCTAGTGCTCCCGAAAACAGACATTAGCCAGAACATAATTTTTATTGGGAATACAAAAGGAAATAAAGACTAGTAAGACATAACACAGGAATACTCTTAACAGGAGTTCTGTGGCAGAAGCCACAGTAAATTATCATCATTCCACAATCTTCTAAGTGCACTCTGACATATTCCTAATTTTCCACTCCTAGTAAAATGAAAGGGAGAAAAAAGGTTAAGGACAAAGTTTTCAGACTTAAACTCCATTTCCTTCCTCCAGAGTTTTGATTCATTTCTGATGGGCAAAATAAGAACCAGCTAGATATTGTGTTTGCACTTACTGAAACTTCAGCTATGCTTTGTGTATCCCACGAGTAGTTTAGTTCCTGTAATTTAAAATGCAAGTCTGACTGACTCCTTTGTCTACAAAGTTTTCATTTTTTGACAACAGAGGGAGAAAAATATTTAAATTATCTGAAATATTTTAACTAAAATATTAATAAATAGGTCAAATGCCTATGTTATAACCCTAGGCAGACCCCTTGGAGGGAATGACTCATATTTACCTGCTTTGATAAGCCACACAATTCCTGAAGATACCTAAAGATCATCAATGTCTTTACTTCTCCATTTCGAAAGATGACGATTTCTCACCTTCTAAAGCAGGATTTCTCATTGAGAAGTGTGTTGGGTCTAAAGATATGAGCAGAATCCCAGCACCACAATTTCTAGTAACAGTAGGGAGGACAACAAGGCAGAACACCTAAACACTCAGCTGATGTTGTCAGCTAGCATGGAATCCAGATAAATGTTTAATTACAGTTAACAGTGATAATGGTTATTTTTTGCCTAAATTGTACAGTGATCAGCATTCAAAATTTGCATCTGTACAT